TATAACTTAAGTGCTTTTGAGGAGAAAACTGGCACGACACCCACACTGAGTGACTGAGAAACCAACAATACTTTGCAGCATCCCAATGATGTGTCAGAGGACAGTGCTGGTTGTTACCAAAGCAGGGCGCTCAATGTGAGTATAGAAATTAAGAAGAAAGAGGGGAAAGCAAGCCGCTTTACAGCGTCAGGTTAACACACTATCCGCATGTGCAGCAGTCACGTTGACAGCTCACCAGAATGGGCGGATGCTGTGTTTTATAAAATGCTAACTGTCTATATCATGAAGCATATCAAGATACGTAATGAATCGAACCAAAACCAAAATAAAGCTCCAGCATCAGTTTCAGCTAGTGCAAGTGCATTGGATCAAGGAAGTTGCGGAGAGGTCAGTGAAGAATTATAAAAAATTGAGATAGTGCAACGGGCAATCTGCATTCGAGATTTTCTCGCTTTGGCTGTAATTAGAAGTGAAAGCAGCACTTATAATTTCCTTTAAAAATTCAAATTGATTAGCTTTGCAGAAGCAAAATATATGAAGGAATAAACAATGTAAAAGATTGAGGCAAAAATATGTGGTCTTCTAGAGTAAAAATAAAAAGATTCGCTTTGCAACAACTTTTATTATCCCGTGCTTATCAGGTCTTACATACTTTACGGTACCACACATAGTCCAGGCAATTATTTTATTACTTACTTAATTATTTGATAAAATGTTTTGATTAGCGGAAGAATTCGTATAACTAAACAAAAAAAATTTATGACACATAAATTCTTTGCCTCTCTGTGGAACACACTGGGGCTACTACAAAGTTAATTTTTTAACCAAGTTTATATATGCAACTACCGAGATCTTGCCAAGGAAACCGAGGCGGATTAGTCGACATATGGAGCCCATATTTCATTCCGTTTATAAGTCAGGAATTGTTTCCATCGAAACTCAGCTATATATAAAATATTTATATCAATTGGTGTACAAATAGGCAGAACCAAATGAGTTCACTCTTTACCTGGATCTAATTGTAAAGTGCGTATCTACTTACCTATGCCAACATACTGTTGAAACCCCTCCTTTTAGAAATAATATTGTTCTTAGCTATTCCTAATATTAAAATAATCAAATTGAAATTCGTTGCATGTTAATATATGTACAATGATATATAATATTAATAATATAAAATAAAATAAAAAAAATAAAATAAAATAAAATAAAATAAAATAAAATAAAATAAAATAAAATAAAATAAAATAAAATAAAATAAAATAAAATAAAATAAAATAAAATAAAATAAAATAAAATAAAATAAAATCAAATAAAATAAAATAAAATAAATCTAAGTTTAAATCTAAGTTTAGCATCCAATTGCACAAAAAGAAAGCATTCGAAGACAGCTTATTGTAAGCTGCAGGCTCCTCAAGACGCACATCACAAATTAGAAAAATATCTCGGTTGAAAATCGCTTCAGCTTTAAGCAGCTAGAAGCAATGCTGGATGGGAAACTTGAATATGTTGCAGAAGATATCAAGGACCTCCTAAAAACACTTTGGCGTCTTACTACACTCTATGGCATGGCTAAGAATAGCCAAGTCTCTCTTTAATATATATAATCTATCTAATCTATCCTGCTTAAAATATTTATTTATTTGCGACTAAAACTGTGCCCAAGTATTCGATATTCACCTCTTCTCTGTTACTAAAGCTGAATACCACTAACTTTCAACAGGATTTAAAAAAACTAATATAATAAATAAATAAATAAATAAATTCTTGTCATCACAAAAGGTGTGAAAAGATGTTTCTCAAAAATTTCTTTAGGTTGAAAATATAGTTTAGGAAATTAAAAATTCAAACGCAGCTCAAAAAGCACCCAAAAAAGCTCAACAATAGCACAAATTGAAAATTTCTTTCTTAAATAAATTACTTTTGCCAATTTGTCCAAACGCTTTAACACGTGTCACTTTACGGTAGCGGGCATACTTTCACCACAACTTTTAAAAATTTAATAAGTTTAAGCTTCACAAAATCATAACATTTCACTAGAAAGCATATATGACACACTCACTTACGCCGAAGAAAGCATTGCAAATGCCAGGCAGTTGTTGTGGGTAATGAGTTTTCAGGCCTAAATATATAGTTATATGCAATGCATAAATAACGCACACAAGCCACGTACATAAGTTAATAAATATAAATAAAGAAAACTTAATTTAAACTTAACAAAGTTCTCTCAGTAAGCTTTTTAGCTGCCGAGCACACTTTCTATGCAGCTTTTGCAATTTTTATCTCAATTTATTTTCGTCCAGTCAGTCAGTCAGACAATGCAATAAGGCGCTTTTTGTGCTACTGGTTTTTTTTTTTTTTTTGTTATTTTTCTCACCTATGTGCGTGTACGTGTGCGAGTGTGTTGAAATGAAGCAAAGTGAAGTGAATTTGTCTGTAGAAGAAATTGAAGCTGCCGCCCTTTCAACAAAGTATACCTGCTGTTCGCACCTCAACAGGCAACCGACTCCACTCCACTCCTTTCCGCCGCCGCGCGCTTGTTCGCACTTAATAATTTTGCGCTACAGTCAGCACTTTTGGAAGCTACTCACCCAAACAGCTGCATATCCACCTATTGGTTTGTACAATACGTATAAATGTACTCGTCTATGTAGTATTCATGCACCAGCTCTCTGACACCGCAACAATGTGCCTTTCAACTTGTCAGCTGTTGAAAATTACATTTTTTGTTTTATATATTTTTACTTTTAAGAAATAAAAGTAATAAAAAATTGTTTTCTTTTTTTTTGCGAAAGCCTGTCCGCCCGATTGTTGAGTTCATTTATGAAGCTGTCAGCAACACTGCTTTTGCATAATTTTTTCCTTGTTAAATGTATGTACGAGTACACCAAAAAAGGACGAGGTATTAAGTGTCGAATGTTTTGTTATTGTACAAGTGTAACAATAAAAATGTATCTACATATGTACATGTATAATAATAAGAGAGCACAGCGTGAAGTCAAAAAAATATAATAATAAATGATATTAAATAAATAAAAAATATGAAATTATTCAGTGAAAAATTTCTTAGTATCTGCTTAGATATTTTTCCCCATATATAAAGTTCGGTAAGTTGACCAGAAAAGTAAATAATTATTTTTTTGTAATTGTACGTACTCTTCGTCCTCTTTTACCATCTCTACGTATTCGCTATTCATTTCAATACATTTCTTAATACAATACAAATGCCTGTGTTTTAAGCTTATCCAGTTCAACAATAACCACCTTTTCTTTAAAATGTTATTTAATTTTTGGAAATGACCAGGAAATATGGTGTTGAACGTATTTCTTCGATCCCAGAGATCGCAATAAAATTACTCGTTATTTCAGCAGTGTGGGAAGGCGCGTTGTCATTATGTGAAAAGTAGTGCCACGAATCCCCTTTTTCCGTAAAACTTTTGAAAACTTTTGGTAAACACTCTGCGGTATACCATTTTTCAGTAACCTTCTGCCCCTTTTCCAGTGGAATAGCAGCTACGATTTTAGTTCGGGTGAAGTAAACTGACATCACTCTTTTTGCTACTGATTTTTGCTGCTTAGATTTTACGTGTGAGTTTGCTCCTGTGTCCATACCATGGACTGCTGTTTGGTTTCTGGAAAGTGCTTACAAAACCAAGATTCGTCACCAGTTGCAATTTTTTTACAGCTCCTTGACTGACCATTTTCCAATTTTTTTAGGGAAAATTGAGCAAAATGCAATCGAGTCTTTTGGGCCTCATTTAAAGTTCGAGGTACCCATCGGGCATTTTTCTTAGTGTATCCCATATAATAACTTAACATTCACGATACAGCCATGACATTCAATCCCAATTCATTATATTGCTTTTGTCAATCGTGGGGCTGCGTAAATTTTGGACTTCACTATAGCTATAACTTCATCAGTTGAAGATTTGGTCGACCTTCTCGGGACTCCTCCCCTACGGAAAAATCTCCGGTCTTGAATCTGCGGAACCACTTAGAAATAGTCTTTAAAAACCGCGCAATCGTTCCATATGCACAAGGCGATTACGTAGAGAAGATTAAAAACGTCAAAGTTTATTAATAAATACAGATTGAATTTTTTTTCTCGAAAATTTACGGAACTTTTGTGTTAACCTCGTTTGTTCGTGCCCGCGATGGCATAAAAAAGTTTATTATTTCATGTTTAAATTTAAAAAAAAAATTAAAAAAAAAAAATGTTTTGAAAAAACCAAGATATTTGAAACAAACTCTTCCCTAAGAAGTTTATCATTCGTATGACAGTTTAAAGACGGCAAGCTTTGCACCTTACCTTATCCAAGTTTCGTTATAACAATTTTCACATTACTCAATGGTTGACACTTACCTGAAAATAGAATAAATAATTCAAAAACTTTAGTAAAACTTTATTTTGGCGAAATATTATCAGTTTAATAAAATATTTATTAATATTTTTTAAAACCTAAATTAGTTTGTACATCGTGATGTTTTTTTTTTAACAAATACAGAGAGCTTCAGCTTATTTTATATCGCTGGAATTTTACAAGGAGCTTTTAATTCATGTCAGAACTATTTTAGGGGGAGTGGACATTATTTGCGGAGGCGGCGTCCACCATCATCGTAATAACTTTTTAAATTAATTCTCTGTTGTTTCGAATGATGGTCTGGATTCGAACCTATAACCCTCTGTGGTCGCCATTTTTTTTATCTTTATTTAAGTGTTTATTTATTTTTATACACACAATTTTTGTAAAAAAAATTTTCCGTAGCGAATAACAGAAAATCTTTCTACACCACCAACTGGCATTGATAGTAACAACAACATCAGTTTGGGCTTGGCAAGCAACTGTTGCATAAAAAAGTGGAAAAGAATCTCAAAAGGGTAAGTACATATGAGCATAGCTATTGAAAAAATAATGAAAATTACAACAATAACAACAATAGCATTATTTTTATTAAAAGTCACAACAACATCAAGTGAACAATACGTTCCCAGTTCTTGAAGCTGACCGGCCCTACGGCCTTTTTTACAACTCATAACATACAAAGAGTAACAACAGTTACAACATGACGCCCAGTGACCGGCAATTGCTACCGACAGCGCGCTCTTCGCTACACCCAACTATCAACGTCATCAATTATCCTCCACAACCTCACCCGCTTTCCATTACAGAACCCCATTGTAGAGGAAACAGTTGCAGCAAAGGGAGCCAGCGAGAGTTTTGTGCTGCTGAGCGTGAGTTTCCGCGGTAGGAGTGGACGAGAGTGTGGGCTTTTGTGCTATTGAGCTGTCAAATCACCGCCATTGTGCACACATTGACAGGCCGTTCGAAAACCTAAATTGGATTATGATCACCAATTTCAGGAATAATACGTAGGCATATATATGTCACCGCCTCGCTCCATTTCTGACTTCGCAGCATATATATGGGGATGGATACATGTGGATATGAGCAAATGAGCCAATGCTGGCACAATCTATGCGAACAGCAGGACATAATTAGAGTGCGTCCTGCCGAGTGCCTGAAGCAGTCGATGGATACATTTGGAAATGGATTCCAGACAAAGGAAGGAGGCATTGTCTAGATAATACTAGCAGAGGTGAGGAAGATTAAATTCAATTTCAGTTACAAATTGATATCCTTTGTTTGATTTTGAAGCTGTCCTACCGTTCTTGTTCTATTTTTCTTTTGTTTGTCTCTTTCAAAGACGACAAAATTAAATTTTATTCCATTTCTTTGACAAATGTGTACGTAATGGTCAATGTTCTCAGCTCTGGCAGCCGTCATGGAATGTAAAACTCATGTCGTATTTCTAGGAAGACATTGTAAATCGAAAATGTCCAAAAATCATTGTTAAAATAGCTAAATGATTTTAGAGTCAAGAGCAGATTAATGAAATGTTTTGCAGATACCGACAGACTTTAATAACGATCCACAGGGTTTGACGCAGGAGCTGTCTAAGAAATGAATATTGCTTCAAAGGAGACTAATGAAACTCCTGAAGACTACTTATTAACGTTCTCAGACTTTTTCCGTAAGTGCAAGCTCGCCATCTATTTACTAGTTTGTATTTAAGTTATTTGAACGTGAAAATATTCGACAGGAAATCAATGTCATAAATCAAATGACTACAGTGGAGACACACATAGAATCAGCAGTAGCGCTGATGGGACAAATTGTTGTTGGAAAAAGTTGTGCACTTATCCTTTTCTACTTTGAAGTTTAAAAATTTATGCATTTCCAGTCTCTTATAAACTACAGACTTTGTAGGTGAGTAAAAAATATTAATCCCAGTGAACAAAATCATTTAAACTGAATTGCTATGAGCGAAATGGAAAACAAAATAAAATTATGAAATAAATAAAACAAAACATTTAAAAAAAAATATAATCACATAAACAAAGATAATGTAATATAAACTAAAATAAAACAAAATTAAATAAAATAAAACAAAACAAAGTAAATTAAAATATTAAATAAAGTAAAATAAAAAAAAAATAAATAAAAAAAATATTAAATAACATAAAATGAAATAAAATAGTGTATAAGAAAATAATACAAGCACAAATAGAATAAAATGAAATAAAGTGAAATAAAAAAATAAAACAAATTATAATAAAATTAAATTAAATACAACCAAAAACACATACCAAAAAATATAAGACAAATAAGAACTAAAAAATAAAAAAAATAAAACAAATTCAAATAAATAAAATTTAATTATATTAAATGAAAGAAACTCTATCAAAATTAAATAAAACAAAAAAAATTATATAAAATTACAAAAAAAAAATTAAATAAAACAAAAAAAACATACAATAAACTAAATAAATATAATAAACTAAAATAAAATACAAATTAATAAAGTGAACTAAAATACAAAAGTAAAATAAATTTAATAAAATCAAATTAAAAAAATAAAAGAAAGTAAAATAATATATAAATTAATAAAGTGAACTAAAATAAAAAAGTAAAATATATTAAATAAAATAAAGGAAAATAAAATAAAAAATAAAAAAATAAAGTTACCTAAAACAAAAAGGTAAATAAAATGAAATAAAATTAAATAAAACCAAATGAAATCAGAAAAAATAAAATGAAATAAAATAAAAATGAAATAAAATAACAACATGAAATGAAAAAAAAAAATAATTTTAAGAACCCCACATAATATTAAATAAATTAAAAAAATTAGTAACAGAATAATTAAATAAAAAAAATAAAATAAAATTATAATAAATTAATTCAAATCGAATTAAATTACATAAAATAAAATAAAGTGTAATTACATAAAATAATATAAAACACAATTAAATGAAATTAAATAAAATAAAATAAATTCAAATAAAACATGCAATATTAAATAAAACTATATATTGTAGAATTAAATTTAGTTCAATATAATAAAATAATGTAAAATAAAATAAGGCAAAGGAAAATTCAATAAATTAATAATAAAATTAAATTATTTAAAAATAAAAGTAATGAATAAAACAAATAAAATAATATAAAATGAAATAAGCAAATAAGTAAATAAATAATAATAAATAAATTAACATAAAACGAAAAAAAATTAAAGTAAATTAAAATAAAATAAAGCAAAGTCAAACCGTATTAACTAAAATTAAATTAAATACAATAAAGTAAAAACAAAATCAATGAAGTTAAATGCAATGAAATTAAATTACATGAATCAAAATTTTTATTTATTTCGACAATACGAATTTAACTAATGAATGTCCACTGGGTGTGGTAAATTTGCTGCTGACTTTATTTCCCGTTTGCAGTTTTTTTTTTTTCAAATATGATATGTAAATATGTGTACGAATTCTTGACGCTTTATTTTTCACACATTTCACATAGCCAAAAATAGTTGTTGTCACACTTCTTAGAATATTTGTGCAAGCGTACTTATGCAACAAAGCAGCCGACTTATCTGTCCACACTGAAAAAAATGTATGCAGCACAAAAAAATATTTGTACACACATATGTATGTACCATACAAACAACAATAACAGCTAACATTGCAGATTACAAGTAGCTAACAAAATTGTTGTGTCAAAATACAGTATTTTCTTACTTATTTCTTATATCTTTTTTAATTTTTTTTTTCATTTTTTAAGAAATTGCTTTTGGCTGAATGCCAACCAAGCCGACAATAACGGTAAAAAGGTATATAAACAAAATGTTGAGCAGCAGCAAGTAAACAGCAGCAGCCTGAATTTATAACACATACGTCAACTCGTATTGTTATTTTGCAATTTCTCATTGTTGCCATTTGCTGGCAACCCGCTTGACTGCTGTCACATACGCGCACATGTGTGTGTAGTGTACGTATGGGTGTAGTAGTATGTGTGGAACTTCTTGGTACAGGGAAACTCCTTTCACACTTTTGTTTATTTTTTACTTTGTATTTCTCCCGAAAATAAATATTTTATGAATGCATAACAAAAGTCTAAAAATATTACATATTCTACAAAATAACAAATAACACTTTGCTGTGCAGATTGAGGTGGGTGAGAGCGTAAGAATAACAAATCGCTTCGTTGCGCATTAAATTGAAAGCATTTGCAGGCAGCCAAAAAGAATTATCGATGCACTCCCACCAGAATAGACACATAATCGAAGCGATAACCATGAACAATATAAATACGAGTATGTATGTAAAGTTGTTTGTAAAGTTTTTGAATTTTCCATTAAAACACCCGTCAGGGGTGGAGCATTCATTTGAAAATGCATGCTGAATTATTTCAATAATCGAAAAATGAAAATATGTAATCAATTTGAAATATAGTGTTAACCTTGCCGATTAGAAATGCTTCCCACACAGGAATGCTTTAGCAATATTTATATTTAAAACATATGTACGTACATGGCTTAAAATAGTGGGAGTTGAATCAAAAAATAAATGAAATTTTAATTTTCTCGACTAGAAATAGGACATAAATGATGGATTTATTTAGAAGGTGAAATATTTAAAGACTGAATTGCCAAGGGTGATCTCTTAGACAGTTTTCACCAGGACAATCTATTTTTCGAAGCTGATTTTATGCCACTTGTTGCTTCTTTTACACTTACTTTTTGTGATTGTCATTTCATAATGATTAGTCTAATTCGAGAAAAATTTTTGAAAATCATGCAAATTTTATATTCAATATAATAATTTGGTCGCATCTATATGACAATTCGAGCAACCAAGCTTCGGTCTCCCACCTCGTTTACTCCAGTCGATAATGCGCATTCTCAGAGATGCCGTACTGTGCGTTCTAAAGACATTATGGTTGCAAGGGCAGAGTATCGAAGAATACCCGCATGTTTCCATAGGTCATCCCACACAAAAACACGAACTATGCCCATTTACTTTCTGGAATATATTGGTAAAGGATCTTGGCTTTGGGAATTATAAAGTCCACTATTTGGTGTTCTCAATGGCGTGAATGAGTGAATCATTGGTCCATATTTCTTCAAAACTAAAGACGGTTATTTAGTAACAATAAACAGAGAATGTCTTGGAGCCATGATTAAAGACTTTTCCGTGCCTAATATGGTGATGTGGATGAACTTTAAGTTCCAACTAGACGCCACTATATGCCATACAACCAACAAATAGTTTATAAAAGAAACTTTTGATGAGTGCATATCTCGTGCCGAGGGCTAATAGCTTGGCCTCCAACAAAGTGCAATTTAATACCAATTTTGTAGGGTTATGTGAAATCAATTGACGATTGACACCTTGAAAGGGAATATCAGCAGCCCAGATTGCTACAAAAAGTGGTCAAAAATGAGTTATCTCTGGTATTTATGCGAACCAGTTTAATCGGTCACTTGCCTGAAACCATTTTAAAATATAATGGCAAGCCCTTGTTTTTTATAACACAAAAAGTAACGAATACGCAGACAGGGCATCAGCTACTTTACAGATTAACCAACTGATTGGACCTTATCAGTGTGGCTTCAGACCTGATAAGTCAACCATTGAGCAGATGTTCACCTTGAGCAAAATTGTGGAACAGACCCGTGAAAAGAGGATCGACAACCACCACCTCTTCGATTTTAAAGCCGCCTTCGACAGCACGAATAGGAGCTGCCTTTATGCCACTATGTCCGTATTTGGTATTTTGGTGGCTTTATGCCGTGTAATTTCTACAATTTGATGCTGGAGAGAATATTAAGAGCTGTAGAGCTGAATAGAGAAGATAAAATCTTCTATAACGCCGATGATATTGACGTTATCGGCCTCAATAACCGCGCCGTTAGTTTTCTCCAGGCTTGATAAAGAAGCGAATCGAATGGGTCTGATAGTGAACGAGGACAAGACGACTTGGCTCCCACGTTACTGTTGACAATTATACTTTGAAGTCTGATAATTTCGTCTATTTAGGAACCAGTATTAAAACTAACAACGATGTCAGCATTGAAATCCAACGCAGAATCACTTTTGCCAACAGGTGCTACTTTGGCCTGATTGGGCAATTGAAAAGTAAAATCCTCTCTCGATGAACGAAAACCACACTCTGCAAGTACCACATCGTTCCCGTCCTGCTATATAGTGCGGAAGTATGGAAGATGACAACATCTGTTGAGACGGCGTTAGGAGTTTTCGAGTGAAAGGTTTTGCGTAAGATTTATGGACCTTTGCGCGTTGGCAACGGCGAATATCGCATACGATGGAACGATGAACTGTACGCTGTTCCGTATGGAACACTTTACTGAGTAACCAAGTGCAAACTCAACAAGCTCCTCATCATTCTCGTCTTGCTATCATGAAACGACGCTAAGATATTTATGGGCAACCATGAATACCGTCGATGATGCAAGGATGGGCGGTCAGACATATCGGACGACATCTACACTCCAACGAATCAACTGAGGTCTTTTCTTCCAGATTGATCACATCTCCTAAGTTTTGCAGGCTTTCGATGGAGATGGTAGAAGCAGAAGAAGAGGAGGACCTAAAATTCTTTATATAAAATGAAAAAATAAGGAAATATAGCACCATAAGCCTAAAAAATCTAAAATAAATATTTTTAAAATATTATATTTTTTAATATTTCAATTACGAAATTGTTGAAAATTCCGTTTTGGTCTAATCGAAAGAAAAAATAGCTTGAGTTATCTTTAACATGAACTGTGTTGGCTTTTTTTATGACAAGCCAAGAATTAAGAAATTTATTCATAAAAACATTGCAATTAATATTTAAGCTTAAGCATACTAAATACAAAGCCGTAAAAGGTAATAAATTTTCAATTTTGGTTTCAAAATAAAAAA